GTGGTTACTTTCAAAAAATAAAGCGCTCGTTTTTAAAAGTAGAAATCAACACGTTGTAGTAACGAAGAATTCAGATAACTGACAATGCAGTAACAGAAGGCAATATATCTGCATGTTTGTTCCATTTCTTCAATACAAAACAGGGTGTCCACGAAAGACAACAACTGTCCTGGTTTACAGATGTCCTGGCAGTAACATTTTACGAACACATCTTTTCAAAACATAAAAGTTCCTGAGACTGTGAACTGGTACAAGTCACAGTTGCTAAGTTGTTAGTCATACGCATGGAAAAAGTTATATTCTAAGGAGGTCATTGATACAGGGCAAGCAATAGAAGAGGAAAGACTGAAGAATGTATTTATCACTATCATAGAAACATAGGTTACAAATTTATAGAACTGCTATACATCAAGTAAATTCCCAGCTTTCCCAATCAACCACATCATAGCTGTAATAAACTGTAACCTAAAACTAATTTAATTCCTTGGTTTGAACTGTTAGGTTCCTGTCCATGCTTCCACAGCACTTGGAACCACTCTTTGGTTTTTAAATGTGGGATTCCATAACAAAATGAAGACCAATAAACGTGGTTCTTAAAATCTAGTGCGTTTATTGAAGTTTTATAGGTACATAAAAAATACAGTGTATTATCAAAATACTTACAAAAATGAATAGACACATTGCAGCAAACACATGAGAAAAATCAAAACAAAATTGCATCGAAGATACAGGCTCCAAGAGAATCCTGCCCAACTATTTCAAAAAAGAACTCTTAAACAGTCTTTTCAGTAGTCTGCCTTCCTATGAGCTACTGCTCAAAGGTTGTTGTTTTTTTAAATAGTTGGAGAATGGATAATCATTTAACTATAATGTCAGAACATAAATATAACTACTTACAAAATCCCCGCTGTATTAAGGCACAACTATGTTGTACTTTTCACAGGCTTAAATTGCAATTTTTCAAATAGCCATCCCATATGAGGAAAAAAAAAAAAAAGCTGTGCTAGGTTAAAGATAAGCCAAAGTCCAATTCGGCAGTATTGCAGATACCATCAGAATACACTCCTTTTTGCAGTTCCCTCCATTCCAATATTTGCTCTGTCAGCTCCTCCAAGTCTGTCACCAGCACTTCTGTTTTTGTCAAAGCAACGTCCTGAAGAAGAGAATTAGATTTTATCTCTATAACCTGTCAGGCTGTTAAGCTAGCAGGAAACAAAGATAATCTAAGCAACTAAACAGCATTGAGAAGCTCTTTTTTTTTTTTTGCTACTCACCACGTTCTTCATGAGAGTTGGTATCTGAGGGATACTTTTCGCACTCTGCAAATGACTTTCAAGCTTCTCAACGAAAGACACAGCCTCAGTCAACAACTCTACTACGTACCTGTAGCCAAGAATGAGCTCAAAAGTTGTGCAAACACAGAACCTAATACTTTCAAGTGTTCCTTTCTTTCCCACTATGGGTTTCCTTAGTCCTCTTCTCTATTTTTATAGTTCCTAGTCATCTAATGAACTTAAGTGCAATTACAATTCTTTTATGGTTCTCAACAACAAGTAGGGCAGAAGTTATTGAAGTGCATAATTCTGTAACTGGACTAGATTTTTAGAGCATGAGAAACACTATTTTTTAAACATTTACTAAGGATCTCTGGGAATCACCCACACGCTTATTCTGAGCAAGTCATAGTGGAAAGAAGACACCAAAAGCTACAGTACTGATTCCTACCTACAGAGAAGCAAAAGGAATCAAGGATTTAACAAATCCATTTAAAAAGACACATAATCAATTGTGTAGTCTTCAGAAGGCAAGACCAACCAATTAGGCAAATATTCATTAAAAAATTTATGCTTCCATGAAATTAGCAATAAGCAAACTTCTACCTTTTAGAGGAGGTTTCACTATCACTTTTTGTTTCTATTCTCTAGAGAAAAGTGAATGAAAGCATCTGATTTTTCCTAAAATATAATTAGCTCAAATTAATTTGGACTCAAAGAAAGAACCATTATTTTTTGTATGCCTACTTGTGGTATTCAGCCTTAACAGGAAGGTTCTCTTGACATATGGGCTTCATCAGCCTCTTCCTGAGTTTCTTCTTCTCTTTCAGTACTGCTTCCAAGTGTCTGTTCATATCTTGCAATATCTGGCATTTTTTGTCTGTAAAATAGAATTGCAAAGTTGAAGCTGTTGTCCTGCTAGAACAAGAACAAAGTTTTTTGTTTAGAAAGGAAGTAAAAGTCTGATCTATCACTCAGGATAGTGTACACTCAGGAAAGATATCATTAGTCAGAATGACTTGTGTTGATTCTGTAGGACTTAATATCAATACACACCTAAAAAAAGTCCTATGTACTTTTGAAGTCATACATATGTTTTAGATACAGCTTTGTTAACTGTCTCACATCATCTATAGTTCTGAGTAAACTGTCTGGAAGAGATGAAACCCACTTCTTAGAACTATGCCATAAGATTGAAATATTACAGTGTACTTCACTAGCGTAATGCAGTATTAGCAAACTAGAATCACAGAGATTCTACTTCATGTCCTTCCGATTAAGTCCATATATTACGCAAACATTCTTTTGAGGAAGGTTAATAATATACTTGCCACCTCTAACAAGCTATGCAGTGGAAACAGCTGCAATAATTTCTAGAAGTGCGATGTACTTAAATGAAAAAATCTGCTAATGCAGTCATTTAAAATTATTTTTTTCTTTTTTTCTATGATACATAGAAAACTTACCTAAGTAAAAAGGGTGAACAATGTCTGCTGTCTCTCTCTCCAGCTGCAGAATCTCAGTTTCCAGTTTCTTCTACAAGAATAAAAATCAAAATGAAAATGAATTTTTAATGTACTTAACCAAATATTGCTGTCCCTCTTGGGGCAGGGAGAAGGTGAGAGGGAAGGAGAGGTAAGAAGAGGGACAGTGCACTTGTGAGAGTAGCCACATGCGTAAGAGCATACTACCAATTTCCCTCAAGGTGTGTGCCTTTTTTGTTGGTTAATAGGAAGAAACATAAAAAAACAAAACCACACATACAAAAAAAAACATTTTGGTGATTTATTGGGTACTTGTGCTGCAAGAGACCGATCCTGCAATTCATTCTTAAAACACAGATGCTCACATGTCCTACAAAGCAGTTTCATAGCCTATATCCTGCAAAAGTACCTCTCAAAGCTTCCATCTCCTCCTTTTGGCAAACACTGTTTTGTGATATTAATTGTTTTAAGCTGAGGAAGAACCAACCTCTCAGGTTAACCTCTTAGCTTTAATTCTTTTCAAAGACAAATGAGCACAAGAGCAGCACACTTACTCCTGTGGCTTAAAGTTGTGAGCATTTTGGCTAGACAGGAGAAGATTGAAGAAACTACAAAACAGAACGACATAGTTTTTCAAGACACAAAGCTGTTGCTTTGCATTCCTTGAAAGGAGACAAAAATTAACCTCTTTCACTGACAGCATGTCAAAGATTTGTCCAAGAAAGAATTTGTAAGTATAACCTTCCAACAAAGGCAGCAAAACATACACCTCACTAGGAGCCGTAATTCTTCCTTCTGCTACAGGGTGATGCCCACTTACTCATTCTCCAAAAAATTAAGTTGTGTGAATTTGAACTTTGCAGTAACACTTTGTAGCTGCTGGAGCTTACGCTAGTGAGCAAATGCTCAGAAAACATCAACATAAAATGCAAATCAACCATCAATTTCAGACAGTAGGAAATGACTGAGGTAACCAACAAAATGGTCCAGAGTCTAAAAAAAAAAACATTTTTTGGAATATAAGTGAACTACAAACTCTTATTTGTTCTTCAGTTTCTTCAGAAAGCTTCAGGTAACACTTCAGTCAAAGATGCAAACTACTACATCTCCGCAGTTGCACTGAAAACTTATTTAATCTTGGTATTCTTGGCTTTATGGCAACTGAGCCCACTGGGAAAAAGCTGTAAACTGTTTAACAACTAAAATGTTACAAAAAACAAGCACAAGCCGCCCCCCCCCCCCCCCCCAGAAGCAAAACAAAAACATGAAACAATGGCATTTCAGTTCGCTGCCTCATGGGGTAAAATGTATTATCTTTAAGTATGAAGCGTCAAGAGTACGCTGACAGAAGTAAAGGCTGTACCTCATTGATTTCTGCCCGAATCTTCGCAATTTTTTCCCTCTCAGCGAATTTGGCAAAGCATGTGATATTTTGACAGGCTGAATCCAAAGTCTCCTGTGAAAGCAAGGCAACAAGAAGGTCAGTCAGCAGCCAGAAGGCACCAGGCAAGCTCTCAATATCAGCGCGGCAGCGCGCTTCAGCACTTTCACCACAACCATTATTCCAAGCCACACAGCCAGACCCGTAGCAGATAAAACACCAGCTTGTAAATCCCCACAGCTGCTTTAAGGCTCCACACGGACAAAATCCCCGCGGCAGAACGCCGCCCTTTCTGCGGACAGAGGCGGGGGGCTTGCTCCCGATAACCGGGCCCCGCACCTGCGTGACGAAGCCCTCGGCCAAGCACTCGGCCAGCAAGGCCGCCGCCGCCGTGGGCCCCTCGGACTCCCAGGGGCTGGGGCCGGCCGCGGCGGCTCTCCGCGCCCTGGCGGCCCCCGCCGCCCCCCGCTCCCGCGACCCCAGAGCCGCGGCCAGCCCGGCCGCAACGCAGGGCCCAGGGCTGGCGGCTCTTCCGCAAGGCCCGGGGCTAGCGGCCGCCGTTGCCGCGGAAACCGAGCGGCGCCGTTCCGCCATAGCGGCCGGATGCAGGAGGAGGCGGCTGGGAGCGGCGGGCGGGCGCCATGCCGGGCGTGGCGGCCCCGCTGACAGCGTTCCGGTTCCGGAGAGCCGGGGAGAAAGGGCGGCCGCTGCCCGGGGCTTGAGGGAGCCGGGGAGGCGCGGCGGAGGCGGCTCCCTCCCTCTCTGCTTCCGCCGGGGTCGGTAGGTGCCGGTGCGGGGGCTCCCCGAGCCGCCGGACTTGGGGAGCTGGGGTCGGGGAGCCCCCGGGAGCAGGAGGGGTGAGGCCGGGGGAGCGGCGGCTGCTGGCTCTGCCCCTGCTAATCCGCCGGCCTGGAGCTCCTTGAGCTCTGCTGCTGTGACAGGAGAGGGGTGGCAGTGACTGCAGGGAGAAGGAAGAGAAAGGAGCCCTGTCGCTGAGTGCTTCCAAGAAACTGAACGAAACTGTTGGATAAAAAGCAGCGCTGTCCTGGTAGATGCTACTGAAATCACGGAGAGTCTCCATAAACAACAGCCTTACATAACTGGGCCCCAGGAGAGCAGAAACGTGGGAACTATAAAGTTGTCCCTGTAGTTCTAACCACATTCATTGCATTATTTCAATGTGCAGGCTGCAATAAAGAATGCATCTTAAGCTGGGTAAATATTTATCCAAAATTTTAGAGAGGTGACAATGCAGCAGCAAAATGGTTTGGTGTATTGAGAAGCTTTTAGTGACACTATGCATAAAATGACTTTTTACATTTGCTTTATAACAGAATTTCTATTGCAGTCCTCCAGCACAGAACAACAGAAAAACTGGCTGAAACCATCGCTCAGACAAACTCTGTACGCTTGACAAGGAAGTGTGAGGATGGGAAATAGTGCATTAAAAGCCCACCTGGAAACAGCACAGAAAACCGGTGTGTTTCAGTTAACAGGAAAGGGACTTACAGAGGTAATGCAACTGTAATAGAATCCTGGCTATTTGTTTGTATGACTGACACATCTGGAGGCAAATTCTCCCCTCGTTGTCATAAAGCACTGCATACGCGTGTTTCGCATAAATAGTGATCAATCGTATTTCAATATTTTTTTTCTTTTTTGCAGAGAAGAATTTTGCTTGCATTGTCTTCTCAGGACACTTGCATGCTTCTGATCTTATGCTTTAGAGTGAATGCATGTTAAAGAAGTATTAGTTACAATGTTGTGCTTTAAAAAAAGAAAGGCTAGAAACTTGGGACAAAATGTAAATTTTATAACTGTATTATTTTCTAGAAAGATAGTCCACAATTTGTCATGCTTAGATATTTTTGCTGTATTTAGCTGTAGTCATGAATAGTCTATACTTCCTTCTCCTTTTTTAAAATTATTTGGATTAAAAGTACTCTTTCTGGATGTTAGACTGTCTCCTTTATATCTTTTTCCCTTTCCTGAGAAAAAAAGTATTAAAAATACAGATTTTTTTTGTTAAAAATCTGTAAACTTAATTGCAAACTATGACAGTTGGACATTGTGATACATATTATACAGCATGTAATATATATTTCACTTAAAATTTCAGAGCTACATAACATGAACATTTGAAGTTGTATCAAGTATTTAGATGATCTTTTTTTTTTTTTCTCTCTCCTAGTTTCCTGAAGATCTGCAGAAGCTAACGAGCAACTTAAGGACAATAGATTTGTCAAACAACAAAATAGAGCTCTTGCCACCACTCATTGGAAAGTTTTCCTTTTTGAAGAGCCTTGTTCTAAACAACAACAAACTGAGTATGCCTGCTAATTATTATCTCCACAGATTTTTTAAAGTCTATGACTTCTCTGATCAAAAACTAAATGTAATGATTTAACTCTCACAGGATGTAAATGGAAAGTTTAGTCACCTAAACTGAAATCTTTGGAATTCATGTACAGGAAAAAAAAAACAAACAACAAATCATAAATTCTCCAAAAGTAGTTGCCAGCTTAGTTGTATTATCGGTTTAACAATGACATGTAAGTACTTAAAACCATATGGTTTGTGTGCTGTGACTTGTCTGATCTGAAAGTTTAAGTGTCAGATGGTTTAGTACTTGCATAAAGAACAGGCAATTAAGATGGTCTGTAGAAAAGGTTGGCCATTGAATGGTTGTTGCTGCTTCTCTTGGACAAACATCAGTGGAAGTTCAAAAATATTGAGGTAACTTTATGCTATGAGAGATGCTGTCTTTTGGATGAGAAATACATTTCTTGACTCTTTATGGAAAAATGAGGATGAGATGAAGAAGCTAACTGTTGTTATGTGTTCACTGTGTATTAATTGCCTGTTTGAAAAACAAATGTCATTTACAAATTTGTTTCCGTAGTGCAGCTTAGGAGTGTTACAGATGTGTGTAGACAGAATGAGGGATGGATGAACCCTAGGAGAGTTTATCTAGTGAGACTTATCTGATATGTTACAGATTGGTTGAGAACTTCTGAGTGAGTTGAGTAATACCTGTAAAGGGCTGCAGGAGACCCGAGGCTGTAAATTGTATGGTATAGCAAATGTCATAGAATACATTGGCAAAGTGGTTAGTAAAGGGTGTAGCTGATGGTGTAAAATTCTCTCAGAGTAGTGTTTTCAGCTAGAGGTTTGAAGATTGTCGTTTGCAGATTATGATTATTTTTGAGATATTTATGGAAGACATTTAGAAACCATGTGTTGTCAGTGGGCTTCTGTTTCTGTGTAAGGATTTGTGCCTTCACTGGAAAACATGGAGGAATCCTGTGGGAAAAACTTTTCCACGCAGAAGCCCATTTGACATAAATGGGTATGGAATTTTACTGTTCTTTGTTTAGGTCATTCCCTTTGTTCTGTGATTTACTTCTAGCTGCTCTGCCTGAGGAGCTGTGTAAACTGAAAAAACTGGAAACGCTGCATTTGAATGGCAATCACTTGAGGCAGCTACCAGCTGCGTTTGGACAACTTTCAGCTCTCAAAACCCTGAATCTTTCTGGAAACCAGCTTCGGACTGTGCCGACACAACTCTGTGGTCTTCGTCACTTGGATGTGGTAGATCTTTCCAAAAACCAGATCCAAAATGTACCTGACACTGTGGGAGAATTGCAAGCTATTGAACTCAATTTGAATCAGAACCAGGTCTGGTAACTGAGATAGCATGTGGATTTGGGACAGAGCCATTTATATTATGTTTTGTGGTCATACTAAGTCTAAGCTGACATTATCAAAACTTTATAGCTGAAAGACATATCTCTTTCACACAGTAGAAATGAAGGATCATAACTAGAATTTATGGTCTGAAATGTCCAACTGCCTGATTTGACTAAGAAATACTGACTTTAATCATACAGAAAGTATTTGAACAGTTATCGAGTAGGAATCTGATAAACTGAGGTGTAGATTGCCTGTCATCACAAAAAAATAGAAGGTTACTTGGACTTTTTACCATTATTATTGCTTCTTACACACTGTTAAGTAGTTAGTTAACATAATTTAGATTTACAGTATGACAATCATTCCGTATTAGTTTGAAACACCGATCACTTTAAGTAGTCATGGATAACTAACATTTTAATCCCATCTGACTTTTCTCTTTCTTAAATTTATTTCTACCAGATTTCTCAGATCTCAGTGCAGATCTCCCACTGTCCACGCCTCAAAGTCTTGCGTTTAGAAGAAAACTGCTTAGAACTCAGCATGCTTCCTCAAAGCATCCTCAGCGATTCCCAGATCTCACTGCTTGCAGTTGAAGGAAACCTCTTTGAAATCAAGAAACTTAGAGAACTGGAGGGTTATGACAAGGTTTGTATGATTATTTTTTATTAAAGAAATTTCTGGTGAAGTCCTTATCCAGTACCTCCTCAGAATTCTTAGACAGCTGTTATGTTGGTGAATGAAAGCATACAGAGTCTATTGATATTGTCACTTGTATTGAATTCTTAACATCTGAAAAAGAATTTCAAGAATTTGTCAAATATTACCTTTCTTACAGGATTCTCTGTTCTTTCATCAGCATCTTTTGAAGGGTAGCTAATGATAAGAGGTGTGTTGCAGCAAGTCTTTCCTTTGATGAGATGGGAAAGCAGGATTAAAAAAGGAGACTTCCAGTCATACTGCAGTCTTAAGGGTTCAATATCAGTTTATCCTTAACACGTCAGATTTGACTTCTGCACCATATGGACTTGCATTCTAGAGTATGAATCAATTATAGCAAATGGCAGAAAACTTTTTTATTTACAACACTAACAGTTGCATCTATGAAATAAAGTATGCTTTAGGTGCAGAGTGCTTTCGAGTCTGAAGCAGAAATGTAGCTTCTTTCAATAGTTATGAACTGTGTATTAATAATTTCTGTTTTTTTTTTTAGTACATGGAACGCTTTACAGCTACAAAGAAGAAGTTTGCGTGATCATTGTTCTGATCCTGTGTATCCCTGATAAGAAGAGTTAGTGACTGAGGCACCTGCTTCACTGACCTGAAGCAAGACTGGTGAAGGAGATGTTCAGAGTACTCCGCTCTAGTAGTCGTACAGTCTGTTAAGGCCATATTGAATAAACTGGAATAGAGTACACGGGTACTGAACTGATAAACCTGTCTAGGGGCCAGTTTTGATTTTGAGCCATGATAGCTTTTAACACAATATATGTTCTCCTTTGTCAGGGCTCATTCTTTAGTAGAGAAAGGGAAAGAGCATTTCAAATTTGCCAGTTCCCCTTCATCAGGAAGCTGTGTGTTAAGCTATAAGAGTCATTTCTCCTGGAAACATTTTTCCATGCTAGTACATGGAAGTTTTGCTATCAAAAGGAGATCTGAAAAGTTGTATATTTTGCAGTAAGCACTGTTCTACAGAGAAGAACTTTCACAAATAATGTTTTAGTTCTTAACCTCTATGAGTTTTTCTAATGAAGCACAAATAGTTATGGCTGAATTTATATCAACTGCTTTCAGTAAACAAATCATGGTTTGAGCATCCTTCATAGACTTTTCCCCATAAGCAGGAATTGCACTACAGTTCTATTCTGCTTGAGCTGCATCAAATAAAAGATGATGTTTACCTTCAATGTATTCGGTAAAATGTATATTGCTGGAAAATATAAAATCCTTGCACTGACTGTTTGTAAAAGTCTTAGCTGTCACCCTACTGCTGCTGCCTTACTATCAAAAGCATCTAGAAAGACCTAAAAATGTATGCAGTTATTTAACTTATACTGAAAATGAAAACATACTTGTTTATTTTAGTAAATTGTTTTCAAAAATGAATTTCAAGCTTATTTGGTGTAGCTGCTGCTGTTGTCACTTTAACCAATATTACAAAGGTATCATTAAAAAAAATCACTTCAGATACACAGTTCCATCAGCTGCTGGTAACAGTTGTACTTCAACTGCTGTGAGACTGCAGAGAAGTCCAGTATGTCAACACTGTGGTAGTAATTCAGTTAAGATGTACTGCATCCTCAAAACAATGAGGTAGGAAGAACTGTATTAAGTGCTTTTCTTGGCAAAATACATGTAAGCATGGATACATCTATTCCTAATGAGACTCTTACAGTCTCACTGAATATATTAACTAGCCTTCTATACCTAACCTTTCCTACACAAGGCTAGAAAGGCATCTATACAGTCAACTCCTGAAAGGTGCAAATATAATTATTAAGTGTACTCACTGTGGTTGTTAGCTGCAAACAGAAAGAAAACATTAAGAAAAATGAAGTTACCTCTGTGTCAATCTCTATAACTATAATTATGATAATGTGTTTATTTTATAAGAGTTCTCTGAGAATCTTACAGAGTAATACTTATTAAGTAATAACACTTTAGGGAAAATCAGTATTCAAAGGATGGCTATAATCCATTCTTGAATAGCCTGTGGGTATGCAAAGATAGGTTTGTAGAATTTCATAATATACAAGGACACAGATTTTATTTCTTACATTACTTTATTACAGATCAGTACAAATAGCCACTAGTAAAGCAAGTAGGTATTGATGATTAAGGACTTTATACACACCTCTATGTTATGTGAAGTGTTATGATATGGTGTAGCATTTGCCAAACTGCGTCCAGGATTGAGGGTAGCTAATAATAGACAAAGTTTCATTTTCTGAGATGACCTGTATTGTGGAGTCCAGAATCAGCCAGATGTTCCCAGCAAGGGTCCAGTCTGTCCCAGAAATCTCAAGCACAGAAATTCTCCCAGGAGAGCTTCCAGAGAAGCCCCAATTTGTATAGACATTGAGTTATTTTTGGATTGTTAGAGACATCACTATCTGTTCTTGCTAGCTTTTATTTTCCTGCCTAGAAATAAACTACCCTGTTTATTTCCCCCTCAAATCAACTTCTGCTTCTAGGATTTTTTATTTATTTATTTTTATAAAGTTTGGGGATTAATTTCTACTGTTTGCAGGAGGACAGTTGTTGCAGTTTGTGTTTCTCAAGGACATCTGAGGATGTCTCAGGCTCTCAGCCACCCAGCTGCACTTCAAAAATGCTCTGGGGTCCCAGGCTGGCAGATATGCATGTATCAAGTATTATTGTTATAAACAGGTTGACAACAGCATGGAACCAGTTCTACTTAAACTCCTATTCCAGGTGCTATTCTACAGAAAAAAAAAAAACAGTAGCTTCCAGTCAGAAGTAGCTGACAGCAGGATGATGTTTTTAGGCTACTTTGTTTTACAAGACATCACTAGGGGAATGTATCAAGAACACTCCATGTATGTCAGCATAACTGCAGGGCCTTATAGTCGCAAGGCAGAAATTTGTTCAGCTCCATACAAACATACTTCAGAAGTTACAACATGTACAAATCTGGCAGTGAATAGGTAAAAGCCCCATACTTGTTTCAAGTTCAGCTCCTTCTATTTGATACTTAAAATCCCATTTGAAATATTAGTTTTCATCCTACAGATTTGCAATGCTTAAGACATCCATAGGGCAAAGCCCCTCATTGGGCAGGTTTCCCATTGTATAAGAAAGGAGCAACTCACCAGGTCAGACAGGCATGAAAGAATAGGCCATCCACTTTGCAATATTATGCTGTGGTCTTTTTGTTGGGTAAATCTATGCTCAGACATGCTACTTCTCTGAAGTAGAACGTTTACTTAGCAGGATTCCTCTGACTAGTCAAAAGATACATAAGAATAGATGGTGTAGTTAAGTATGGGAATATCAGCAACAGAACAGTTGGAAGAAAAAGATGCCATTAGCATTGCTATAGAAAATAAAGCTTAATGTTCTTAGAAATATTGGAGTTAGATACTAAGTCAACATTTGTTGTTTACATAACCATCAGTGCATATGGAAACATTTCAGCTACAATGTTAGGCTCCTTTGCTACCTTGCAGTTAACAACAGCTACCAAATGTTTTGTAAAGCAAAGGGGAGAAAACACCATGCTGAATATTGATTGCTGGTGAATTAGTCCTGGATTATCCAACTCTCTATCAGAAACAGAAGGGTATTTGTCCCAAGGGAAAAAAAAAGCTGGTTGACACCCTCATGTTTTAGGTCACAGCAAAAAATATGTTCAAGTCATTTAATATAACATTCTGTACACTTCAGCACTACACTTAACCTATTAGTAATTGTGCATTACAGTGGGTGTGGGGAGATGGCAGAAGTGACAAACTGCTAATTTTCTTTTCATGTGTAACTATGCTTGCATTTTAGCTTGGGAATTACTGAGGTAGAAAAACATAACCCATTTAGCAATCCATGCGTATATTTTATTTCAGATTGATTTCACTTGCTCTCCATTTTTTTCATGGTATTCACATACACTTCATATATTTATTCAATTAACATTCAGATAGTGCACTGCTGTTTCAAGCGCAGCAAAGGTGAATTAGCATCTGCAAGTCACTGCATTGTGTTAACCACAAATTGTTTCACAATAGAACCTTCAGAGGAAGAAGTTTTGCAAGTTACTGCACAAGCAACATGTGCTGCAGCTCATGCTGTATGTAGATGTAGCCCTCTGTTAACAGGTTTAAACTCATCTTTCATCTAGTACGCTAGCTTGAATTTCATGGTTCACCATAAGCTATCATGGTCTAAGCATGCCCATGGGACATAGAGTACTTGCTCAGTAATTACATGCTCAGGTGGTCTTAAATATTTTTTCCCTAAGTTTTGGTAGAAATATACTAGGGCAGCTCCACCATTGTACGCAGAGCACTTCTTCCAAGCCACTCCCAGATACCACTGTTCTTTCTTTCACCTAAAAACTGGTGCAAGTCTGTATCCCCCCCAGCCCTTAAGAGTGTTATGTGAATCTAATGCTCCAGTACAGAGAAAATACAATCCTAAATTGCTCTGCAAGTGAAATGGCATTGGTAGAAGGTTAAATCACCAGATCTCATGTGACTAGATAGATGCCCAGCAAGTATTACCAATACTCAACAGGAAAGCTTTATTTTGCCTATTTCCTTTAATATCCTCAAATGTAGCCCCATGCCTTACCAGTCTTTCAAAGAGATGGACACATTTGATAGTTTGAAGTCAGGTGATGTTGATTATGCAGGGATGAAAACTTAGAGTGTTTAAGAAAAGGAAAGATCAGAATATTCCTCTCTTCCCAGCCACATCCCTTCCTGTGTAAACATCAGGAGTTCTGTGAAATAAAAATAGAAGGGAAACTTCCTGGTTGCATAGTAGCAACTAGTTCTGCCAAGTTTTTCAAGGACAGGAAATTAAACAAAAACACTTGTAAGACAAAATAGTTCTAAATCACGTTTAGTTATAGAAGTATGTATTTTGTTGTGCACAATATAGTTTAACAATCAAAAGCAGAAACTGTAAACCTTCATTCTTAATAGAATTCAGAAATATAAAGATGCACAAGTGTTGATTACATTCCACAGACATGGGAAGCAAGCATCTACTCTACAGATGACAATAAAATGATCCAAGAAGCAGACTGTTTTGTTCATTAACATGAAGGCACCAGCTCCCTGACAGGTTTGGCTCTTGCTGCAAAACGATTATATTTAGCTAATCCTTAAGTTTAGAGTCTTGGCAGTTATTTCCTTGTGTGATGTGCATTGTAACATGAAGATTTCTGCATACTCATCACAGCATTCTTTCAGTCAATATGAGAGTTTGTGGCTGAAGCACAGGGAAGTCAAGAACGTGGACTTGCAATAGCAAGGAAGAACATTCCAAGGTGTCTCAAGATGCCACAGCGCAGATCTGCACCGTTCTAAGCAGAATGCAGAACTGCTTTAGTATTCCGTTCCAGGAGACAATCACAGCTAAATAATGCATGCTTTGCTTTCATAATCAGCAGCAAGTATTCCTTCAATTAACCCAAAGTCTATAAGAAGGAAGAAAAAACATTCCACTTCCCTATGCTTTCCAAAGCAAGAGGCTGTTAGAAATTTACTATGCAATGTTCTTACAAGTACTTCTTTGCTATTCATGTTTTTAAGCATGTAGCCTTTGTTACCAATAGGGGTAGATAATAAACTTTCAGAATTCATTAGCTTTCCAATAATTACTGGATGCCAGACAGAAGCCAAGGCATGGTACTAAAATATCCAGTCCCTGTAAAAAAAACACTCTGCCCTACATAAGACAGTCTACTACTGGCCTATTTACTATATGCAGCATCTTCATCCTTTGGTCAGTTTTTTTTCTTCCACAAGAAGTTGTGCTGGGAGCAAACTGACAATATATTTGTAACACTGATTGTACTTCTGAAAACAAGAACATTTAACATTTTTTGTCTTACATTTCAGCAGATTAGTGTTATCTCTTTAGCCCTAGGACTTCTTATTAATAGCTACATAGATACCTGTGGACTGTCAAAAAACAAAGAAAACCCTGGGATTAAGTCTGGTTTTATCATAGTAAAACAGAAGTGTTTTTCCTCTTCATTAGAGGAAAGCTTTACCTCACCTGGTCTTCTATTCTGCAACAGATGAGGAACATTTTAGTTGTTATCAACTTGGAATATTTCCAACTGCCAGATCCAAAGTCTGTAATAATAAACTAGTCAGGAATTAATTTACAACTAGTTTATTTACAGCTAACAAACAGTTCTTACATACTCCAAGCTTCCTCCAGACTTATGACAAAGAAGTTCTATAATCTTAGTTTTCAGTAGCTTTAAGAAGCTCCCCCAAAGTCACTTTTGAGAATAAACTGCACAATCTCCATCACTTTTGCACTGGAGAAAGAGCAACTGAACTCCAGTGAGAACTGGCCAAGATAGAATCCAATATGGGATGTGAGAAAGCTGCATGCTTTTCTACTCAGTTTAGTTCCTTCCAGTTCAGATGCCTCATTCAAACACTTAAAACCTAACTTTTAGATGATGGACACAGTTTGCCATCAAAGAAATGCTTCAGGGAGATTTTTATTGTATTCTACTTGCATGCACAGAGAGTGTAAGATCAGCTATATAAACACATGATAATACTAGATACTAGAAAAATGCAGCATGATTTCCTAGTCATGGCCTCCAAATGTCAATTTACAGTAAATAAATTGAAAACTATACGCCCCTCCAGTTAGCTTTACATTAAAGTTTTTATGTTTAGGAAGTGTTTTTAAAGCCCTCAACCCAGAAGTAGTAACCAGTGGGCCTCTTGAATGTTGTAGTCCACATGCTCAACCCCAAACCAGTCACGTGGTCTGAATTGTAAAGCCATGGTTAACCTGCTTAGAGATACAAGGCAGACAATACTCACCAAGTCCCTGTTTTAGTGAAGACACTCAACTTATGAGGTATTTCAAACAGTGCAAAGTGCCCTCCTCAACTTTCCAGAACTGTGAATTCACGTTACCCTGCTTATTCAACTTCAGTAAAGAACTGTATTTTGGATGCAAGAAAAGAGACTGGGGGGGAATAAAACATGACAAAGTTCTCAAAGCCATGACACTTTCAGCCCTGAGCAGTTTAAGAAAGTGAAGGTAAATGAGTAGGAGGAACTTATGTTGACTGCTTTCTTGGAGTCAAGACCATGTTTACATGAAGCAGTAAAAAAAAAAAAAAAAAAGAAAAGGAATCCCTATAGAAAGGGTACTGCTTCATTTTTCCCAGCCCCTCTCATTTCAGCATAGAGGAAGTTTCACAGATCCAAGAATACGGTGGCTTGCAGCTGGAAAGGACAGTGTCACTGAACAATGACAGAGGGTTTTAATTTTCAATGAGTTTCTTTGCTCTGATGTTGGCTTGCTCGATGCGATCCCTGTTTGTATCTGCCTGAAAAAGACAAATTCATAGGTCATTTGCAAACTGCATGCAAAACACACTAAAAACTAAAACTGACAGGATGTTTGAATTGCAAAATATTATGTAGACAAAACAAGCAATTTTTGTAAAATAGACGTAAATTTATTTTATTTAAAATCACCTTAGGCTGTCAATTTTATCATAAACAAAATTAGGAGAAAAAAATCAGTCTTTAGCTAACCCTCAAAATAGAGTAGCCTGCTCCAGCAGGTCAGGGAGAATTTACAGAACAAAGAGTTAATGATCACCTCCCTCCAAGTGCTTGGGCATCATAAGAACCCCTACAGAGAGGCTTCAATATTATGGACTAAGAGTAATAAATGAGAACTGAAAGTGACCTCTAGGCATTATGTTAGAATTGTTTTGCTAAGTGGAAATCCCTGGTTTCCACCTACACATCCGTACAGTGTCATGGTATCATAACAGCATAGTGTCTATAAGTAAAGCCCTTTATTTTATAATTGTTTTACTGCTACCAGAGCCTCAGAAAAAGTCAGCCACTATGTAGGATGAAAAAGTATCAAGATATAGCTTCACTGAATGGTACAATAAGGAGCTTTGAAATACCCTATCCAAGATGCTGCAGGGAAAGAGCAGTAGGGATAATAAGCACAAAGCTAGCCTTTCCTCTCACCACAAGGCATGGAACTCCCGAGAAGCTCTACCTATGGTAAAGATTAGCCATTTCACAAACTCATACTGAAATTAACTAGTATGACATCAGCCGTTCAAGCCCTTCCATTATGTTTTTTCCTTCCTGCCCTTCACATTGATGGCTGGGGAGTGGCAGAAACTTATTACAGAAATTTGTCAAAAAAAGCCACGATTTTGTAAATACATAGATTTAGCTAGCAGATACTCTTCCAAGGAAAAGGCAGTAATGTGTTTACTATGGGTATATTCAGACTACAATTGTATCATAACACTGCAGGCTGGGAGTCACCCAATCAAGTCTTTACTTTCCCTGTGGATTGGACTTGAAAAAAATCCCTATAAACTCTCCTGGAATTAAGCTTAGTACTGCTCCTTGTTTCTTTATATCATATGGTCCTTTGGAGATTTACCCTCAACATCTTAATTCAGTTTCCACACTGTTCACTACATTTAAAAAATGGTTATTAGCAGAAAAGAATGAAAGTATGCTGAGACCATAGTCAGATCACTAGTCTCAAAGCCAGGGGCTGCATTTGGCATTTTTATTCCTCTTTTGTAAAGCAATTCTAATTTTAGATTACATTCCAAGAGTTAGTAAGATTTAACGAGCAAGATTTATTCAAACCACTAAAATGTAAGAGCATCAAGACAAAACAGGTGCTTGAAACTACCAGAAGAGGAACACTAAAGCTAAAAATAATAATTTCTACTTGCAGTTGGTTTGACTGACAATATTCAGACCACTTTAAGTGCTAAAGGTTTCACACCACATTTTAAATTCTGATGAACTTCAGTTTTAGTGTCTTTTAAAATGTTTGAGTTTTTTTACTTAAGTTACCTCAGATGTGCAGTTTCAGAGAACAGTGAAAGACAATTTAGACACATCCAATAAGATCATGTTGATTGACATTAATACAACAAGTACTACTACTAATTACTAGTCAAAATTGAGATGCTGACATATGCACAAGCAGCATCTACATCACACTAACCACTCTTGTTCTGAATATTTGAGAGCTGTTAAACCTACTAGGCTTTTCTGACTAGGCTTCTCAGTGGTATCTGACTTCCTATCTTGTCTTCATTTTATTAGTTTACAGCAACGTGTCTACTTCTGCTTTTTTAAAATCCATAACACATACCATTCATTAAAGCTTTGTTTCCCTTCTTAACCAAGAAGACTGTAAAAGAGCTTCTGTTCATTTCAAAATATGGGGATTTCTGAAATATTACGAACTTCCTCGTAAGTTGCCCACTGGAAGAAACCCCCAAATCAGATTTGCATGATAAATCTATTTGAGGAAGTTAATCTTGAAAAAATAATAAAAACAGGGAGGAGTGGTGGCACAGAATGAGTTTTTTTCTGGCTGGGACTAGCTAACTTCATGTGCAAATGAAAGCAGACCATGTCCCTGTGCACCACAAAAGCTATAATTTCTCATGGCCAGGCCAGTAGAGATTTTGAGTTAGGGCAAAGAAATACTCATGTCAGTAGTTTGGTTTATAGTATTTGTTTTTTAGAAGAATTTCAAGAGTTTTGCTATTGTTTAAAAAAAACAAAAAACCTCTTCCCTACTACACACAAGAAGATACCCTGAAAGCAAATACCTCAGTTATACTTACAAAAAAAGTCTATGCTACTGATCCAATATAATTTAGTTTCTTTCGGAATTAGCAGTGACTTATATTTAAGAGCTGTATTTAAGATCTCTGACACTCTAATGCATTTGAGTTTTCAGCTACATACCCAAACACCAATTCTCTCTCTCATTCAAGTCATGACAACTAGAGGATGCTATCATCTTAACTGCATATTTTATGGCAATTACAGGTCAAAGACAGCAAGCCTTATCACTTATTAGTAACAATCCTCAAGTTGAAGGCAGAAAACACCGTTGACACTTACCTTTACATTTATCCGGTCTATTTGTTTGTTTTGGGCATCGATCTCATTGCCCATATCCAAAGCCATATTTTTCAAATTCCCAAGAATGTTTCCTACTTGAGTAAGATTTTCATCCATTTCATCTTCTCTGGCATCATTTGTTATCCTGTCCCAATAATGACAAGTGTTTCCATGAATCAAGAACTTGCTTTTCCTTACCCTAAAATTACTCTATTAGATTTTTTGTTGTAAAGTCACCTGACAGGCTATGTAGTCAAGCTAAGGTATTCTCTCATTTAAAACAGATATTTCAAGCAGGCAACCCACTAAAAAGAAGGTTCTAAGCTACCACCTACTTAAAAATAGCCTTAGAATTTAAAATAGCAGCTACTAAAGAAAGTTTAAGACATTGCCTCAAATGTATAAGTAAGAGTACTTGACATTTTTAACAGTCTTACTAGACACTAAGCACTAGAACTCCACAGTTCTCACTATAGAGCAAGGAAGTACAGGATGAAACACTACACTATTGAAAGAGTACTACTTGAAGAGGAGATGGCAAAGACTAATAGATCCTCCAAGTAACAATAAAAGCTTGTTATTTAGCATATTCACTTGAAATATATCTGAAAGCTGACAACTGCTAGCTTACAATTCCTGCATTTAGGACAGATAAATATGAAGGAACAAACCGTGTAATATATCCACCACTTGGTCCACCAGAAGTCTGAGGTTGCTGCTGATTTATACTTCTTGGTTGCATGGATATCACATGATCCGAGTTCTCCGTTCCATCTCCCCACGTTGCTCGGTATGCTTTGCTAGACTCAAAATTCTTCGTCCTACTCCATTAAAAACAGATATCTGAACTGCTCCATCAGAAAAAAAAATGGCATCCTGATTGAAGTCCTGAATTAATCTAGGATTGTCAGAAACATTTGTCTTGTGCCCTAAAGATATTAGGTTTTGCATATAAAAAGCCTTGTCTAGATACTACACATTCTTATATCAGGACAGTACAAATATAACCAAGTTACTCTAGGGACAGTTGGCTAATCTTGTTGCAAGTGTTAGCACAAGCACAGTATTTCCCTTGAAGTAGCATACTTAAACAGAAGAGAGGAAGCTTACAACAGTATCAGGAAAGCTTACGTTGTCATAAAGTTGCATTTAGAACAAGAGTTAATGTAATGTGATGCTTAGGTACTTTTGAAGGAAGAAAAGCAGATTAATGAAAAAAATTCCCACCAATACAAGAAGCTACACTCCGCAAGGTCACCATTTATCTGTTTTGTTCAACAGTTTCTATAGCCAAGCCCTTCTTTTTAACATTAACCAAAATGAACTTGAGAAACATAAAATAGCAATCTTGCTTAAACAGTAATGGCTCCTTCGCTCCATAATTTACCATTACACTTTTACCAAACAATACAGGAGAAAAACAAGTAAGCCCACAGAACACTAACATGAAGCAATCTTAAGCATCACATATCTACGAAAACATATCTACAAAAGCAAGAGAGAAAGGAAATTAACAGAGAAGTTATCTACATCAATTTCTTGTGACCTCTACAGAACATATTTTGAGAACAATATTCTGTTTGTTGTCATTTTTGAGTTTGGATAATCAAGACCCCACTGCTACTTTTCTGCTTCAGCAGAAGCATGTGTAAGACAATACATATATATATATATATAGATAGATAGATAGATATATATATAGCGTCTCCAGTACATCTAACTTTACAATTACAGGTAATAAATTTCAATATTTGTAGTGCCTTCAACATCAGTAGCCCAGATGTTTCATATTTGAAGAGGTGTGAAATTAGCTATAATAAAGAAATATCTTCTCATTCCTTCGACATTTATGTAAACAAAATAGGAAAATACCTCTCATAGGAGCTGACCTGTGAAATACAACCTATTGTGAATACTTCAAGAGGAAGAAAAGGAGTCATCTTTCAGTTCATAATGGCAACGTTACACGCAGGAGAATCCTGAAGAAACCTGAACTACTGAATTCTAGCAGTCTGTGCCTACACAGCCTTAAAGATCTCCTTAGGTTTTCTGCAACAAGATTGAGCATTACGTTTTTGTCTCATTCACGCTAAAGTTGCAGCAGCTGGAGATATTTGAACACTTGGCTTTTGAAATATCAAAGTATTCAGTGACAGAGGCAACAGTGAGGAATTTATTGAAGAAGCAGCCTGAAAACTTTCACATCTGATTTAGACCAGTAGAAACAGAAGTTGTTACTTAAACACAACTCCTAAGAACAAATTTCATCACCTGATCTTTTAAGAGTTGTTTAAGCTACTATGCATTTATATTTCTCGTGTTTTGTTTCTGTAAGAGTTAGGCAATCTATATAGCCTAGCAAAACAGCAAGGGTTATAGCAGTTGGTCAAGCTTCCCACAGCCAATGCAATCTATAATAATTGACATTTATTATTACAACACATCACGATCACAAGGAGACACGCGTGCAGATATCATGCGCATGCAAGCACACATCCAGGAGAAGCATCACCTTAGACAGCTGGTTAAACATACATGCTGCGCTAGTAAGACTGACCTTGTCCTAAAATCCGCTTTCACCAGTTAAGCGAATACAGCTTCTTATCCTAGTCTTCATTTTAAGAAAGCAAGCATCAGTGTTAGGAGAGAACGGAGAAGAAATAATAGTAAAGACCAGCAAACAGGTAAATTGATATTAGTGCACAGTTTATATTAGAGTACTGCTGGTATTTTGTGGTTTTGCAAAGCTTTCATGAATAAACTAAGAGTAGTGGAAGTGAGAAAAAGCAGTATTTCATCAATTAAACATTCTGACTTTTTTTTTTTAAAAAAAAAGTACAAACTTTGGAGATAGCCAGTTGGCAAAAAAAACTCTGACATCGACAGAAAATTTCACATACCAGAAAGTATACGAACAGCATTCATTTTCTTCCTCATTGCCTACTCCTTACCTATAAAGTTTTCCTGCATGTTACTTCCCATTTTGGTACAATACTCGTTTATGTTTTTATTTATATATTTGGATTGCCTCAAGGGTTTACAGATCCTGAGTTTGCTCAGAGGCAATAAGCTGCATAATTAAATTCAGTGAAATTAAATAGCCAACTACAGGAAACGATGTGACTTACAGGAAACAATGTGACTGGACTATGTGTGTTAAAGTGCTCGAAGTCCATCAACTTGATAAAACTACTATAGAACAGTGTGCACACCTATCTTGAGGTCAGGACAGAACTACCTGCTTTTCTCAAGATACAAACGGTAAGATTTTCAGTCTTAGAAGCCACATTCTTATGTATCCCAAACACTCCCCTAGTATTATTTTGTTGGAAAAGCAGGTTCAGCTACTGCAAGGGATTTTTACTCAAGTTTCTACTATCTCTCAGTTGAGTAAGTTGTGTTTTTTTCCCTCCTCATGCTAAAGAGCTAAAAGCAAACACACACACAGATAATATTAATTACCACGAAACATGCATGCAATAGTTTGTTTAGTCACTAGTGAAATACTAAAGCTCTAACACCAACATCTGTTCTCCTGCTCTCTTCATCCTTAAAGCATGAACTTTTAAATGCTTGGAGAACCAATACTACCCTCCTCCAAAACAAATATTTTTGCATGATATTGAATTATAACATTGAATTGTCCACCACTACCAGCCTTTATGTAACTTAGCAGAGAAGTACTTTTGAGAATAAGTGATGGTGGCGGGGGAGGGGGAGGGGGGAAATCACATTTCTAAGGGACACAGGCATTCACATACAGCTATTTGTAGTCCAGTTTGGTCTCATTTGTATGTATGTTGATACTGAATAGACACTTCAGAATCGTAAAATCACATAGCTTTATGGAGATTAGGGTTCAAATGTGCAAGATGTTGCACAGTAGCTCCATTTACAGCGAAAGGTGCACAATATATGGTCAGATGTAAGTAAGCTTTAGCTAGTCTCATATGATTTTACAAGTGTGCACCTCCACAAACCAAAAGGAAGTTCCCAGAGATGTATCATTTTAGCTTTTATAAGAGACCATCTCCCAACACAACAGCTATTGGGAATATCCAAGAACTTTAGATCTGTGTAACAATTTAACCAACCTGTTACAAGGACAGACACAGAGCCCACAACATTTGTTGAGTTCTGTCAGTGTCTTCTCAGCTTCTCTCATGTCCTTATTTATTTGGTCCATGCCTTCTTCTATGCGATTTAGCTGTTCTAGAAGAAGAACAAGTAACCTAAATAAACACACATTTGGAGTTGGGCGTGAACTTGCACTCCTTTCCAGCAGGAACTTACAAGATTCAGTTCCATCTTGATATAAAGACAAATGTCTTCTTTGCTTTCCTGCCTTCTGGAATTACTTTTGTAGAAAGAGATTAAGTAATTAAGTTTTGTCTACTATATTAAAACCATTTCTCCCTGTCCTCAGAACAGCCCTTCTGCTGTTGCTTTTAGGATAAATGCAGCAGTCCTGCTATTGTGGAAAGAAATGGCTTCAGTAGTACAGTCTTCATCACATTGTAACTAATAGTTTCTCGACTACTTTAAATTTTCTTGTAAATGCTACAAATGTATGGGAATAGCCAGTTAATAGATCTCATTTTCAGAATCACAATCGTGTAGATTGCAAAAGACCATCATGATCATCAAGCCCAACCATCAACCTGACCTACCAAGTCCCATCACTAAACCGTGTCCCTTAATGCTATCCCCACACATCTTAAATTCCTCCAGAGCTTGGGACTCCACTACATCCCTGGACAGCAAATTTCAATCCTTGAACACCCTCTTCATGAAAAAATTCTTCCTAATATCTAATCAAAAGCTCTCCTGGCACAACGTTTTTCTCACATCATATTGCTTCTCACCTACCTTCAGAAACGCGTTTTTAAGAAGCCTTTAGTTTCCACAACTCTTGAATGATGATCTATTTCTTACAAAGGTAGGATAGATCATTAGTGTTTGGGAAGAAGGAAAAACTCACCTCCTTGTTCATCCAGCATTGTAATAGTCTTGATGCCAACATCGTGAGACTGTAGAAAGAAGTTTGTATATATAAACAGACTTCAATATACCAGTGCAAAATCAGGTCTCTGGAGTAAATTTGATAATTCAGGTTCATAATAAAATACTATGCTAGGAATAACTTCTCTAGTAAATTACACTAAGATTCAAATTGGATCTTACATTACCCTGGTAACATTACCTTATATACTATCTGTTTCTTTTATATCACAGAACAATAAAATGTATCATAATAAACAAAGAAAAAACTATCATACTTCACTATTTTTAATATTACAAATGAACAGATGGTAAGAAGGTACATGCAGAACCACTTTTGTATAGAAGCAGAAACAGCCCTGCCCTCTACTACTCCACCATACCCTACTAAGCTGTACCCTCCTCCTCAAAGCAGGACGTTTTCACGCTATTCATAGACAGTGTGAGCTAGAAGAAAAATGTGAAGTGGTATGAGAACCAAGTGATGAAATTGCCAACGCCATGACTGACTGACACAGAATTGTATGCAATTGATTGCATTGATATGCACTTGGAGATTAGGCCATTTTGCTTATGAAGAAAGTAGCCAAAAATGATATTGATCCTTCTGAGACCTTACTTCACATAATCTGAAAACATTAGGTTTAAATCTTTCTAACTCCATGGCACATTTCTTTAAAAAAAGTTTGAGAAAGACAAAGTGATGAAGATCACTTTGTGATAGTTAAAATGCTGCTTTTCATACTCCAAATGTATACAACCCTAGTGGAAAAAAGCTTCCTTACCTCAATGGCCAAGCCAAGAATCCTCCTTGTGCTTTCCAAAGACTAGGAAGAGAAGCGTTTTGAGTGTTAATAGCATATATCAGTCTCTGAAAGTGTTCTTTACTAGTTAATTGTAATAAGGCAACTATTTTACACAAGTTCATCAGCCTGCTATGTAATACTACATCTGTGTTGCAATTATCACCAACCTAGAGATTAATTAGCCACTGTGGAAACTTTTTTCTAGTACTTAATAGTAATTTGCTATTGCATACAGAAGTCAAAGAAAATATATTTTCATTTAACTAAATTTAATTAGAAAAGAATTAGATGCATGAAGTATCAACATGACTAAGAATCAAGCATAAGCACCTAATTTGCCTTGTCTCAGTAATCAGGACTGGGTGGGGAATACTCACCAAACAGGTGGCTTTACAACTGAACAGTTTATTCCTGAAACTAAGAATCAGTTGAGTGTTGGCGCTAGTATTTACTAAGTAAAGAGAGGTTTGGAACATTTGGCTATACTCTTGCAAAATCATCACCCTACATTATTTTAAAAGATACTGTAATCTTGGCAGATAACTATTCTAAACCCAGACAGCTTCCTAAAGTATTTACCTCATCAGTGACCTGGTTGGCCCGCAGATGAATTTCTTCAGCTGATAGTTCAGCCATGATGAGGAACTATCACTTGCAAGTAATCGAGTTGAAAGAGGATCTTCTCCCTGGAATAAGAGATAACAGTTAGACAGTGTGAACACTTCAAATAATTCTATTGGTTAAGTCAAAACAACCTTTTATCAGTATTTTGCACTGAAACAGGACAATTCCAAGAACTAAGACATACACATTGCATTTTGCGTAACACGTGTTCAGAAGGCCCTGAAGGATTTGCTCAGCTGATATGATATAACCGAAGAGCTATGAGAAATGCAGGAACAATCAGTACATGAAATTGTTTCCTTTACAAGGCTTGACTTCATAAACATTTTTGGAAAACTATCTATTGTTAGCTTAAGACAGAAATCAGGACATGGACATGTCTTAAAATAAAAAGCCTTTCCATGTTGGAAAAGTATTTGTTTACCCATTAATCCGGAAAGAAGTAGTTTTCTAAAGCATGTAAATTCCTAGCATGAACCTTAAGTGCTCTTCACCTTCTATGTGAAGGATTTTGACAACACAGTCAGAAGAGAAAGCACTAACACAGACCAAGCACCACCTAAAGGGATTCCAGGAACACTTTAGAAGTAGTTCTTGTTATAATATGGTGAATCCCTCCAGCAGCAGGAAGTTATAAATGACATCTCCACAACTCTTGCAAATGTTTGAGTTCACTTTCCTTGTAATTAGATGGGACCAAGATTTTTCTTTCGATATAATTCAAGTCCTAATACACTAGGACTTAACTTGTAGAGTAAACAGGAGATATATTTTTGCCCGAGGAGACAGCAGGAAAAAGCAAGTCAGTTGATAGATTGTGTATTGTTATCAGAGAAATGTTTTTCAAAATCAAGACTGTGCATTTTTGTTGGAGGAATGCTAATAAAGACAGTACTCCCAGCAACAGGAAGAACAGAAGTCACAACCTACATAAGATTTTAATAATCTGAAGTTAAGGAAATTCTTTAAGAGTTGTTTTTTGATCTTTGCTGTTCCACATCAGCAGCTTCTGATTAAATTCAGGTTATCCAGATAATCACTCCAAAACGTCCTGCTTGTATGGCAAAACCATGTTCTATTTTTCCTTACGAAAACCACAGGCATAGCATTAGTAACTGCTCCTAGAAGGACAAATTCATCCAGATGCACCCAGCTGTCAGCTAGGGAACAGCTCCTAATAGGAAGTACATACATCTGATTCAATCTCATTTAACTGAAGTACTTCAGGATTTGGAATATATCAGCAGATCTATCTTTAGCTTCTCACATACCTCTTCAGTCTAAGACTTTGAGGTTTTTCCAAGTAGCTATCAACACTTTTTCAATCATGAAAAAAAGCTCTCATAAGGCCTCTAATAGTTCAGTTCGCATTAGTCCAGTCAGACCATACAATCACGAACTTAAGTTAGTACTAAATTAGAAGTACTAAATTACATTTGCTTAATATTCAGAAGCAGGATGAAATTTCAGTTATATAGTTGGTGTTGAACAAGCATTTCCTTACCATCCTGATTGCTGTCACTGGGTAGCACCTGAAGCAGGGAAGGCCTGGCCAAACCTGCAACAGTCAAATGCTTCTGCAGCTTGGAGCCATGAAACTCATGTCCTGTCTTAAAGAGCCAAAGGGATATCATGTCCCCACCCTGCAAGTGCAGCACCTTCCCAAGAACCCCATTGTAATTGCAGAACAGGGCTGGACACGCAGCTGTATTCCCAGAGCAACCTAGAGACTTCCTTCGCAGCAGCCCTGCTGTCCTGCTTCTCTTTGCAGCTGTGGGGTCAGGCTACCCAGCGTAAGCACAACTGCTGGCTCCAGGCTGTTACAGCCACCACTACACAATGCAGTAACAGTTTCTGTGCTTCTGAAGCAGGGTACAACACTAAATTAAACACTCAGCCATGTGTTAAACATTTGTTTATAAAATAAGCCTTTACTGGGTAATAAGGCTCTTGCCTCTTTGAATAGATATTAGCAAATACATCGTTCTACTACCTTCATGTCATGACAGTGCCTGAAGTCTGAAGGAAGAGTGTAAACCTTATCTGGCCAGATAAGGAGTTGTTTACTTGGTTTAGTACTGTCAGAATGTCATCCTGTGCTGCTAAAGCCACAAGTTCATGAAGACAATAAAAACAGAACTGCAGCGAGACTGAGAAAGGAGAAGGAGACAAGTCAACACTTCCAATTCTCAAGCTAGTAGTTCTTGGTGGTATAATCCGGAAGGTAACATATTACCGTGAGGCAATAATTAACTACAGGACTGAAGTTCACCTATGCAATCCCAAATTCACCCTGGGTTTGCAGAATTATTAATGTCTTATGAAAGACAAGGCAATGCTGAAATATGAAAGTAATTAGCTAAAGAGATTCGGCAGTTAGCTGAAGCGCTGCTTCATGTACTAGTAGCTATCAAACTATACCTCCCCAACTTCACCCTGTTTACATCACCTTTCTAAAAAACTAGCAATCCATATTTGGCACAAATAAGTTTGGGGTAATATTAAATCCAGAAATTATCAGAGGTTGCATCTGGCACCAGACAGCTTGAAGATGTAAGCACTTGTTGCTGAAGCTACCACTTTTATCAGCTCACAGATGATCTTTGCTTTCCTCTCGCTTTCTCACAGCTCTCTAAACAACTCTATTGCCAGAAAGCAACAAGCTCTGTGGAAATCCATAGCATTTCTGTCCTGCTTTCCCTCAGACCAATGGTTGTTGTTGTTGCAACTTTTTTTTTTGAGTTGACCTAACACTGAAGAAATCCAGCTGCATGACACAGAAGAAAAAAGCCCCACCATATAGCAGATGCCCGTAACTCAGAGCAAAACCTTCTTAACCCAGTCACTTTTAGGATGCCTCAAAGCTGAGTTATGCCTGCGCTTTTCTTCTGATGCTCACATTAGGATTCCTGTAGTGTTTTGCCTCTTGTTGGACAAAACACCAAAATCTGGAGAGACAGTTCACATGCTCAATTAAACTTGCTAGGATAACTGATCTCTGTTGGAGGAATCTAAACTAAACCACTCAGACTCTTTTGAGACTGGAGTTCTGACAAAGTTTTTCACAGGTAAAGGGTTCCAGTCATTTCTGGTCAGTTCGTGAGATCCCACGCCACTGGAAAACAGCGGCACCACCTTCTGTTTCTCTGGACTTCACAAGAAGCTTACCTACCTTCACTTTTCAGCCACTGCCAGAGCTATATACAAGAGGCACTTCCTTCTTAAGATAGGCCTCAGAATGCATGCTTTTTGAGTTGGTTTTATTATAATGCCTGTTCAGAGTTGAATATCCGGAATTGATGGACTCCAAAACAGGCTGTAATTTCCTTCTCCTGTTTGAGCTGGTCAGCCATGCTCTTGCAGACTGCAGTAGCTCTGCAGAGGAAGGCAGTGCCAGACAGAGATATTCCCTAGGACTCCTGATCACACAGTGGTTTGTAGCACCCAAACAAGCACGTGGGAGTAACTGAGAAGAAACCAATTATTTCCAAAAAAGCCTGTTTCCAAAGATGGAGAAATATACTCTGTAGCTACGTGCCTAATTGGAATAGTTAGAACATAGCAAGTGCCTAGCAGGTAGGGATGCTGCAAGATTTCCCTCAACAAGTTAGCACCAAAGATTATGCAATTTTTACTGGCAGAGTAGTTCAGCTATCCCAACAGAACATGAGGTACATACATAAAGGATATTCAGGTCCCAGTCTTTCTGCCTATGAAGCACTCAATGTGACTGAAAAGTTCCTGGCATATATTTTATCATAATATAAGACTTGCTAAATGTAGGCATTTATTTTTAGTATCAACAACGTCCATTTTCTTCGCATTCTGCTGTTTTTGTTTAGTGAGAAACAAATTTTAAACACCAAGCTAGGCATGCCTCACAAGGACTTATGCATCCATTCACAGTGTGCCTAAATACAAAGCAGATCTTCAGAGAAGGACGTGGAGTCAGCCATATTTGCTTTTTGTTATCAGCTCCTTGCAGTATTTACTCAGCTACCAGACTGCAAGGATCATGGTGAAACGCATTCCAGTGCAACTCCCCTCGTAGCCCACCCCTGCTCAGGAAAACCTGGCACCCATGGACTGTGTAGAGCTGAGGCTGCTATCAAAAGCATATTTTTTTTTGAATTAATGGGCGTCATGAAACTTTTCTACCAAGTTAGAAGACAACACATCCTTCAGCTTAATTATCACTGCCCTATAAAAAGAGAGGCTCATTGAGAAACAAGGGCAGCAAACAGACACAAGGCCTGCAAATAATAAGGATCTGCCTTCTCCTACATGTTTTACTTTGGAGACCCGGGGTCAGGAGGAAGTTCTTTACATTTCCAGCTCTGACCACAAGCATTAGATAAGACATTATCTCTTCACAAGTTGACGCAAATTGTGCTAAGATATTCTACAAGCTTACTGCTATCATCCAGAGCAAAACATTCTCATTTTGATATTAGTTGAGGATGGACAAGAGTTAAATTACTTCTGTCACTTCAAGAAGAGGAACAATGAGATAAGGGAAAGGAATGCGTGTCTACACAGACTTTTTACCCCCCCACTTGCTATGCATTCAAGTCAGTGGCTCCAAAAGCCCAGGAAAAGCCTTGAATTCACACTCTTACACAAAACGTTTAGGTTAGAGAAGGCTGAGGAAAAGAGATCAAAGGCAATTTTACAGAACAGTTAAAAACCCCAATTAAGCTATTCCCTGCAGAGAAATGAGTGATATGAGAGTAGCTTCAGGGCTTGTATTAGCATGGTGTCAGATCCATTCAAAGCATGATTGGCTGAAGCATTTTAGTAGTTTCTTCATCTGACTAGAGTTACACCAACACTCAGTTTCCAATATAAGCAGGGCTCAGTTATAAAAGAAAGTAAGTTGCAACCTTGCTTGTGATGTCTTCTGAATAGTCTTTTCAAGCTTTCGTTTACAAGTGAGCACAAGAAAAATATTTGTGAACACTTCCAAGGTAATAAAAGCTATAGCAGGCAATTTACACAGCTTGAATAAGTTTTTCTCCAGCACATGCTGCAAAGCAAATCTAACACGTATTAACTCTAAGAAAAAAACAGAAAGCTTACTTCCTTGTTTCATAATAGTCATGGTATATTCAAGTTGTGCTATCCAAAGCCCTCAAAATCCTTACGTACTTTCTGACTTACAGATCTTTATGAATTTATACCAACTGCAAGCCACCAGAATGCCTACAGAAGTGCTTGTTGAGCCACAATTACACCATCTGCATCTAGAAAGGACATCAAGGTACCTACTGTAAACAGAAGTTGTTTTAAAACAGTATTCAGTATAGGAATATTTTAAAAACATCATTACAGCTGGAGACTGTATGCATTTATTCCATTCCTCTGACCTACTACACTTCAAAACACTTATTTTGAAAGGGGGCGATTGTCAGAAGTGAAAGCTTTTCCTAAACCAGATGGATTTAACTTCTATTAGACCAGAAGTTGTTTTGATCACCTGCACTTTCACAAACCCATCCTGAATGGTCACAAGATTCGGCCCTGCATCTCTGGCAGACATGGAACAGTTTTGTGTCTCCAACAGACCAAACACCTTTCAGAAGTGTCAGACATCCATCGCCTTTACCAAATATCATAGATAAATTCCTCATTGTCTAGTGGTCCTCTTTATTTGAGCCTAGCCCATTCTAACCAACACCACAAGGTTTCCTCCCACACTGCTAATCTGAAATGAGAAATTAAGTTTCCCTTCGGAGCACAAGAGGATGATGATTTTAGGAGTTATTCCCAAGCCATGAATAAAAACTGCTTCAGTCCTATGAAGTGTTCCAGCAAGACTCCATGCTTAAATCCTCAAGTTGTTTTTCAGCCTGGTATGTGGTACAAGTTCCTTACAGTCTGGTATTACACATAACAGAGTTAAGCAGAAAGCTTTCATACATATTATGTCCAAATTATTCATTTTTCATCAAGTTGTGGTATGAAAGAATCCTATCCCTCCCCTTTCTGAATACCCACGTTTGGTTACCTCTTCATTGTAGGTAAGTTAGAAATGAATCCTTGTACTTTGTCCTTTTAATATAATGCCCTACTAAGCACACTAAAATATGCTTTCCATTGATTTTCTGTTTTTACATATAGAAGTGCAAAGGAAGAAACATTCAATATCCCCCAGATGATATATCTAAAACCCGGGAGAGATGCAGCCTCCACCTCCTCGAGGATAACCTCACCAGAAAGGTATGAGCCAGGAGATGACATAACCCTGCTGCTCCAGCAGCTGACGGGGAGCCAGGATCTCCCCAGCTGTAATTTCAGCCATCGGCTCTGATACCGCCTCCGGTGATCGGGGATGCTCTGCCGGCTCCTTCACCGAGAGGGCGAGCTGTGCCATTCCCCGTGAGATAATAAATTGAGGAAAGGCTGTTTTTAGATAAAGACACACATTATTTATTGGGCTTCTAGGCCTTGTTGTAAGGATTAACAACTAGAGAGATTACGGAGTAGGTGGAACTTTTATCGAGCGTTTGTTCTGCTGTTGTGTTTTCAGAAATTTCTTATCACTAATTTAGGAGGGGTTGTTTATTAAAGACCCTCCCTGAAACAAGCTGAGGAGTCACCCTACGCGTTACGACACCCCATACGGAGCGCTGCAGGGTCTCGGCACCGGGCCGGAGCCCTCTGCCCCCTCACGCCCCAAACCCAACAAACAAAGCGACCTCATCGCCGAGGCTAAGGCAGGAGCCGGCCCCGCACGCTTCCTGCTGTCCCCACCGCCTCCCTCAGCCTCAGCGCGGCGCCCACAGCCCGGGCACCGGGAACGCCGCCCCCCGGGGTTATACCCAAAAGAAGTGACCGCAGTACCCCAGAACGCGCCCAGGAGGGAGACAGAGCCGGTGCCGCACACCTACCGCCGAGCGGAGCCGTTTGGAGCCGTGTGGAGCCGTGCTAAGCCGAGCCTCACCCCGCCGCCCGACCCTTTAAGAGCCCATGCCCCGCGGAAGCGGGCGGCAGCACCGCCCATCGGCGCGTAATGGAGGTCGCCCTTCCGCCCGGGCAGCGCGCCGCCGCCGCGACTACACTTCCCAGCAGGCACCGCGGGACGGTAAGGGAAAGCTTCCCGGCTTGCAGCGCGGCCGCCTCCTCGCATTCCTATTGGTTGTGCCGAGGGCTCGCCCCGCCTCCCCGTGCGCCGCAGGTCTCCTGGGGGTGCCGCGGCGTTGGGGCTGCAGGGCGGCGGCGGCGGGGCCCGGGCGGGAGGGGGGCGCTCGGTGCCGGCGGGGATGGGACGGGCGGGCGGGCCGCTGCCCCGCCGGGGGCCGCCGCAGGTGAGTACCTGGCAGCGGGCTCGGTGTGGCATTTCCATGAGGGAACGGGGTTTGTCTCTGTATCGGTGCAATCTCGGTGCTGCGCTGCAGCGGGGCACCTCTCCCCGTCCGTCTCCCTGCAGCGCAGCTCTGCCGAGGCTTTGTGGGACGGGCAGGTGCTGAGGAGGGACCCGCAAGGAGGGGGCTGGGGTGCGACGGGCTTTGTTTGCAGGAGGAGCTCCTGGGGCCGCTCGTCTGAGGTCTCCGCTGCTTGTTTCTGGCTGTCTCTTAGTGGCTGCCTCTTTCAGCCAAGCCTCAATTATTCCATTAAGCTGATTGACTGCTTTGCTGAACTGATAGATCCTAATTTCGGTAATGGGTTTGCTGAGCTTTGAAAGTAGCTCCCCATTAGGACTGTAGTGTTTGGGAGTGAGTGTTCAGTACCCTAGGGACAGTGAAGTTCAGCTTGTAACTTATTTACCTTAGGAAATAATTTCCAATCCCGAACTGAGAAGAGACTGTGTCTCCTGTTAAAGGCAACTGTATTTTTATTTTTTTTAGTCTTTGTTTGGCTTCAACCAAACAGGCAGTAAAAGGCAACTGTGTTTGCATCACTATCGCCATGTATGTTCCATCATTGACTGATTTTTGTATGCAAAGTTTTGTACATAGATGCTATATAATCTGGCACTCCCAATTCAAGCAAATAGGTGGTTTTAGCCAAACTGTGTTAGTCCATCACTTGAGTCACTGGGACCAAATTTTAGGTAACTTTTAGCACTGATGACCAAAAATGTTATATGTTTGAAGAGGTATCAGACAAATGTATCATAACCTGTGCAGGGCTCCAATATGTATTCAGTACAAAGAATAAAATTATGACAAGGACTGTCATATAAATAAGTATTCGAACTATGTGCAGGATACTAAGATTCCTAGATAAATTTCATCATTTCATAAAATGAAGACATTTTCTATTGATTTTCTGCTTTATCTTTTAAAGATAAAGCTCATAAGATATCTGGAGACAAATCTAGCTTGATGAAATTCTTATCAATATTTGGCACTTGTCTTCTGTGAACTCTGCCACCAGATGGTGACATAAGATTTGAGATGTTACCTGACTCGAGCGGATTATACAAAAATGAAAAAATATAATGCTTTACAAAAATACTTTTGTTTTATTTAAAACAAACAAACAAGGAAATAAAAAAAAAAGGTATTATTTGTTGGGTATGGGATTTTTTTTTTCCATCTAGACCTAGGGTATTCTACATTTTGATCCCAAATTCATGGAGCCCTGAATATTCACCACTGGAACAAAACGACTGTCTTTCAGAGGTGTGAAAATTTGGACAGACGCTTGTATTTCTCTTGCTGAATCATTGATGACTGCTAGCCTAATGTTTGGGATCCTTAGCTTGAATTTACTTGTCCCTAAAGTTCCATATATTGACAAATGACCTGACTACCTTGGTTTGAGTGCCTCAAATCACTCCACAGGGGTTTTTAATGCTCTGTTGTGACTGTATGAAGAGCCCAATGAGTGATTAAATACTCTCTAGTGCACAGACCTTTGTTAGGAAGTCTGAGTACGTGGTACGTAGACCTTTGTTAGGGAGTCTTGAGTCATTTTGATAAAGCCAACTACCTGCTTCTGTGGAACTGCAATAGATAGGATGTGTAAAGCAGTCTGTTTTGTTTTCTGAGTACCTGTTCTTACTTTCCAGTCTGTGAAAGAGACATAGTTTGCTCACCTGTGAAGGGTACCATAAGCTCAAATACGCAGGAAAGGGGAATAATTGTGTTGCTTCTTATTAAAACTTTGTCTCAATTGGTGTTTGAGGCTATAATGGTAGTAAAAGGCCCCTCTCCAAAGGGAAGTAATAGGGATTTCAATTGGAGTAGTGTGTCCAGTTTTCCTTCATAGTTTTGTAGGCAATTTGGAAAGAGGAGCAGGAATTTTAGTATGCTCAGAAAATGAGGTGTTTGAGGAAAACATCTGAAGAAATAGTTTGGATAAGTCTGGAAAGGAACTGGGAATATAGGAGAAAACAGCAGTTGTCCAGGTGTGTGGTTTTTAGGTCTCTGAAATGGCAGTATACAACAGTGGTTCTGAACAGCTTTCCATTCAAATTAGGGCAGTGCGTGTTCCTGAATCTGCCAGTGTGATAAGTAAGATAGCAGTAAGGTATTTACTTTCACTGGGGAGGTATTACTGTCTCAGTTTACAGCAAGGAAAGCTTAGTTTGGATATTGGGAGATTATTAGCATTGCTTATATATATGGGAGATTAGAAAGCCACAGTTTGATTGTGATTTAAGATGTATATATTCTTCTGGTCTGTAGCCCATTCTTAGCTTTGCTTGTAGTAAAAGTAGTTGTTAATGAAAAGTCTGTGTTCATGCCACGTGCTCTTGTGTACGTGCTGATCTGTTGTATAAGGTACTTCTCTATGGTCTCCTTATCTCCAGTATACCTTCCCTGTATACTCTAAAAAAACAGCAGTACTCATGGGATCACATAGGACCACTTCCTGCAGATGTCTTCTAGGGTAGTGTAGTTAACTTCATTGCTTTTAACAGGAACTTAGAGAACTTTGATCCGTGGAACAACTCTTATCTCCTGGCTCAGTGTCAAAATAGTTGATCGCTTGGCAGCTCAGTTACAGCCTTTGCTGTTCAGCAGTGCTGCTTCAGTGCTGGGGGGTCTCCCATACCTTCCAGCTGCCCTCAGGGACCCTCAGTCATGAGAATGAAGCTAATCGTGGGAAAGCAGAGAGGAATTGAAATGAAATTCTGCATCTCGTACAAGCATTGTAACTACTGTGTTGCAATACAGTTCTTTCCTTTGCCGTGTTCAAAAAAAAGTATGACCACAAACTAGTTTGTGTAATGCATGATTCTGTTCATGTACTAGGGGAGAATAATGCTGTTAGTCGTGGCTTAACTATATTAAGTCCGTAAGTTTTTGGCTGTTGATCAGACCGGGTTGCAAAGATCAGCATCTCTGCAGGAATGCTAAAATACCTCCCACGTATGCCCAGAAGTAACGTTCAGGTAACTGGGGAAAGAGTCTAGTAAGCAGATGCATAGTGAATTCAGGTGCCTCAAGGGCAGTGATTCTGGGAAGGAAAGGTAGTTTTTGAAGGTTGGTGCTTTATTCCATGTAACTTCTGCTTGAGGGGATGAAATATGACTACAGGCCCTTCTTCATTATGGTGAGTTACTTGGTTTTGTACAGCAGTCTGTACAAGGGCTTTTGGAGCAGCATGTAGGACAGGGAAATGATTTGATACTAAGAATTTTTCCTTAAGAAAATCTGTTTTGCTAGGCTTTAATAAATCATTATTTGGTTGTGCTTCTGATTTGCTACATAGCGTTAGTTTGTTGCAATAGGTGGTTGCATACTGCTTTCAGATGTCTGTGGTGTTCTCCAGGTTTTCCTGTGAAGACCAGGCTTCTCAGCAGGAGGAAAAAAAGAAGCTTTGCTGCTAACCAAACTACCCAAAGTAACCAAACTACCTGTGCTCTAGCCTAGCAGCGATTACTTCAGTGCTTTCTTGGGCCTAAAGGCCCTACTCATTCCTCATTCTTCTAGCCCAGAGGCTTCCCTCCAGGTGGACCTGGTGTCCACCTCTTCCTCCTATCAACCAACAGAAGGTTTCCAGAATGTGCTTTGCAGTGAGTTGCTTCTTTCCTCTCTTCACACCTATCCTGCCTGGCCTGTGGCACCTGTGGTACTCATGTAGCTCAGCCCAGCCATCTATGCGACCAGTTGCCTCAGGAGAGAGTTCCTTGACGCAAAAGGATGACGACATCCCCATGAGGGCCTGAGGAACGTGCTGCTGAAGGGCATTGTGCCGTGATGAACTTCCAGGCTCCCGTTTTTGTCAGGTGTAGAGTCACTGCTGCTGTCTGTAGGAACACAGAGTGGGTAGGCTGGCTCTTTGTCGGCCCGGCGCTGCCCATCTCCGAGGCCTGCTGAGGATTCCTAGGCAGCCGGAATGCCGGGCTGCCCACCCCTCTCCGGGGCGCGTGTGGCTTTATATAGTCGGTGTTCAGCCACTGATCTGCAGCGGATTTAGCCTTGACATGCATTTTTAATGTATGCTATCCGGTGAAGTTGAATAACTGGAGGCAAATGGGTGTTGTAGCAGGAAGTAGTCTAATGCCTCATTTTCTTTGTAGGTTATTTTTACTTGTGAGAAGCGTTTTCCGAAAGCTCTTAACAGACTTGCTGAAGTTAATTAAATGCGTGTGGTGTTTCCAGGCTCTGGGCAGGTGCAGGGTGTGGGCAAATAGCATTTACATCACAGAGTTGTAAAATACATCCATCCCTTTCCTTTAAAACAAACAAACAAAAATCCCCTACTGATGGATAACGTTCCCTCAAAATAGGAAGTTGTTGTGACATCTCATTTGTTTTGAAGGCTTGACATTCTGCTGTTGAGGTTTGCTTCTTCTCCATGGTGGTGGTGGTTTTTGTTGGTGGACTCTTATCTTTGCTCACTCTTGGACTGTACTTGGTTTTGCATTGGCTCCTTTTCCACGTGATGCCCCCTTAAGAAGTAGTTCTCTGTGCTGTGTGGTAAGTTGGTGACTTGAAAAGCACTAACTGGAAAACTTGATAAAGGCCTGAAGGTTGTTCAGGATTTAAGTATAGAATTTTTGTTTTCTTCAAAAGGAATTTAAATAGACCTGCATTTGTGCAGAGAAAGCTCCATTTTTTAAGTTTATCAGCATGGAAGTTTTATGATT